GAAGTGAGACTAAGACATTCAACTTACATCCGTTAGTCAATTTGAGAGCCTAAATTGAAGAAATCAAATTGGACTGAACCATATTCTAAATGAACCGTTCCGTTTCATACATAAAAATGAAATTAATGGTTCCATTTTTTTAGTACCTATTTGCACTTGATTTGATTTTAAATTCTCTTTAGAACTGGAGTGAGCTAGACAACTCCCATACCTAGTCTCGAACCTTTTTTAACAATATTTAATTTAACATACTAAATATATCATCATAGTCGAGTCAATTAAATTTTCTAGAATGAAAAAAAAAAAAAAAAAGGGTAACCATAAAAGAATAGCTCAATTCAATAAAGGTAATGACGATCAAGTTCGTCACACATGGTTGCTTTTCTTTTTCCTTTTGTTGTAACCATAAATAAAAGTAAAAGCACTCGCTGTTTCCTTTAAGTTTATAATGAAAAACAAAAAATAAAGGTAAGAGACCTATTTGATCCTTTTGCAAAGGTTAGGGACCTAACTACAATTTTTAATTAAAATTAAGCGCATATTTGTCTTAGAAAAAGACCAATTGTGCACCAAATACATAGGTTAGGGACGTCCGTGCCAAAAAAAAATGTTGAGGACCATTTGCACATTGTTCACATTTTCATATTTATACGAGAAGTTTGAAGTGAGTCGTCTCAGTTTGCTAAGATGAAGACTTGGCATGATTCATAAGCTTTAAGTATATTTGGTGCCTTAGTTTCGAGCAATTGTGAGCTATCCTTCTGATCAAAATTTTTCTTCAACTGCTTCATCATCGATCAACAAGCTTTCGTCTTTCTTTACTGGCATCTTCACATGGATTTGTGGCGATTGTACCCCGTTTCTAGTAGTTATGACCCTTTGTCCTTCTGAATAGTTTCAAAGCCTTTGTCATGTTTCTAAATTGCGGAGCCACTCATCGAGCTTGTTCGTCTCACATTGTGATTTGCTAGTTTTGATTGTGTTCTTTGTGTTTTCATCTAAAAGTACGTTCCATCTTGGAGTCGAATGAATCAAGATCATCGTCTTGTGATTGCTACACTATTAAAAAAAAAAGAGAGAGATGAAATAAAAGCTAGAAATAACTTAAACCAAAATTAAATGAAAAATAGTCCCATCAATGACACCAAATACTAGACCAGTGACTTATATTCCAAGTGTTCGAATTGCAGTACCCACGAGGACTTTCTATCTAAGAGCGTGTTTGGTCCGGATTAAAATCCAATTAAAATTGAAATTGGGTCTCACTCGTCTAATAAAAATCAATAATAACGGCTAGTTTTTCAATTTTAATCCGATTTTAATCCCTACCGAACACGCCCTAAGTATTTCTATGTTCTACTATTCCTAACTTCTATTCAAATAATAAATTAAAATTTATTTTGATATTTATTCTAAATATTTTAATTTTAAGAAAATAATAATTGAAATGGGCGCAAGTAGCAATGATGGTTTTTAAACTTATATGTGCGGACTCTTAGAAGACGCGATTTCACCATAATAATCCTAATTTTGTCAATTTACCTCATTCGAGTTTAAATTAATATTATCTAGTTAAGTCAACTCGTTATATCTCTACATGATTCAGAATAAGCCTAAACTAAATATGAATATAAGTCATGATCGGAACAATAATAGAATTGTATCTCTACTTTTATCCAATTGTCAATTTTCATTATGTGATCTAAATCTATAACTTACCTCTCGATCCATTACAAATTCATTATTCGATGAAACAGTGGGCAATTATTTTAAAGTCAATAAATAATTAAAGTAAAATCAATACAATAAAAGAATTAAAATCAAGAATATTGAGAATTAAAATTAAAGATCCACAACTAGGTTACATGATTCCTTGTAACATTAAATTAGTTACACATGATTTGAAAAGAAAATACAAGAAGAGAAATGAGTACATCACTGAATTTTCAAGAAATAACAAAGAAAATTGGATGATCTTGCACCAAGAACCCTTTCTCCAAACCAAGAACATCTAATTTCTTGATTTTTGTTCATGAATTTTCTCCCTCCTTTTTTTATTATATGGAAAACCCCCTTTTGTGACCTAAACAAGGTCTTCTTATAGTAGTCGAGGTGTTCTGGAAGTTCGACTTCAAAAATGATTCGAAAACATTATTAAAATAAAAAAAAAAAAGCAAAAAGGAGGCTGAAACTGGGTGGACAAGCCCCAGATAGCGGTCTATCGCGTGCAAAACGTGATAAAAAGGGATAGTCCCTCGACCGCGGTTGAACATCATCGTTATTTTAGTTTTTCTTTTTCACCATTTGTAAAGGCAAATAAATCACACACAAACAAGCTTACATAGCAAAACGACGACGTTACACTCTCAAACTCGAATTTAATTTTGTCCTCAATGTCAGCAATAAATAAACATAAAGAAAGTTAGCAATACTCGTCATATAACAGGACGATACCTCATTTTTAGCACTCCGTCTTTATCCTTCCATTAGTGATTATTTTTTTTTTTTGCATACTATTTCCACCAACACTAAAAGAAAAGGAGAAAAGTAATTAAAATATAATCATATCATATGAGAGGGTAGGCTAACTTATTTCTTTTGACCTTCATTCTAAACTTCAATTTTGATTGTGAAACTACCACAATCTTCCATATTTGTCTCTGAAGTGTCATAATCATTCGAAATTGGTCCTTCTCAAACTTTGAAGTGTATAATTTAGTTTCCAAAAGTTTAATTTTACTCCTAAACTTGCAATTTTCTTTCGATAACTGCCTTTTTAGCTCAAAACTTCTATTTTTCGCTCGAATCGAATTGAATCGAAGTCCACATTTTTTCTAATTAACATAATTACATTAAATTAGATATAAATTCGCACAACTAGCCATAATTTAACATGCACGGTAAAAAGCATTACTTTTTCCTTGATTATTTTTTAATATAACAACAAACCTTAATTATGTCAAAGGCTAGAATGGGTTCCATGATCATTTGCACCAATTTGTTAGGAATTCGAGGAGGTAATATGGCGCGATATTAAGTATAGATCGCACAAACTAATAAATAAGATCAAGATTTAAAAGAAAGAAAATAAAAAATTGACAGAGCAACTGAATATTTTATTAATGACAACCAATGTAGAGATAATATAACTTTCAGCAACTTCTACAATCTACTAAACTGAATGAAGAGTCTAATATTTATAGGAGCTCGAAATATCACAAAAATGGAAACAAGCTAAAAAAAATCACGTGGAATAAAAGAAATAATATTTTCTCAATATTTTTCCATAAAACACGTGAAATAAAAGGAAATAATATACAAAAACTGAATGAAAAGTCTACTATTTATATGGAAGATGTCTAAACTCAAGATGGAAACAAGATAAAAACAAATCACGTGAAATAAAGGAAACAATATTTTTCCAATAAAACACGTGAAATAAATGAAATATTTTCTCAAAATATTCCACATAGTTTGGGTCACAAAATCCAACAACGGATCCTCCATCCAAATTGTTGCCAATTCCATGCTTCAAGTTGTTGGCACATTTCATGCTTCAACTTGAGGCACGTTCTAGCTCCAAAGTTATTTTTAAAATATCTTATATATTTAAATTTTCAAGGTATTCCTGTAATTATCTGTTCCCATAAAAGTTTCGTCGATCATCGTTTAAACCTAATAACATTATTAAAATCACTATTTTTTTCGAGAAATTCATAAAAAAATCACCAAAAAAATTACTCGAAGTCATAGAAAATTTTGGAATGTTACATACATATTAAACGATAATTCATCCAGAACAACAATTGGTTATTTTATCTTTCTAGATTTGCATTTATGTGTAATAGAAGTAGATATTTTCATAATCGTATTGGATATAAAAAGCAAGTCGACTCGATTAAGATAGAGACTTAGCATGACCAACATTTTTTGCCACGCTAGCTAGACCACTAGGCAGGATATTTTTTTCTTGATTAATTTTCTTAAATGAAAACAAAATTTAGCTATGTCGTGTGTCTCCCTCGACGCGTTCCCAAAGGCAGGTTTCTGCTTCAGAGTGTTGCCTCATTATTGGCACACTTCATGCTTCAATTTGTGGCAAGTTCCATGCTCCATTTTTTTAAAGTTGTTTTCAATTGCGACAGTACAAACAAGGATCTACCTACCCGACCCGTCCAACCTTTGCACGTATATACTAATGTCCCTGTTTGGTGAAAATTAAAATTCACATTTTAATTTAAGTCAAGTCAACAATTAATTTTAACTACACATTTCATAGGATATACAACTTTTCAATCACAAATTTCATCAACTTTGATCAAAATTTACTAAAATTCCGATTTTAATCATCACCAAACATGGCTAAATAAAGCAGATTCGTACGAGACAGTTCAACTTAATCCTCACCAAACAGGGGCTAAATTACACTTTTTTTCCCCTAAATATATACATATAAACATATTCATTAACTATTTGTGTAGAAAAATAAATATTGTAATTTCAACTTGTGCGTTGATATCTGGAAATTAATTTATTCGCTTACTACTTGTACATTCCCAGCATAAATGAGTTAAGGGCAGATTGGACATAATTGTACAATCGCCTATTGCATGAAAAACCCCCTTAAAATATTTCCCTCCGCGAACTCTGTTCCCTCACCAAAATTTCTTCTCTGGTGCAACTATTTTCTCTCAACAATCCCTCACAACTGACGGTAATGTCTCTCTGATTAAACCCATAACTTCAGATTTCGTCCCCGTAATGTTCTTATTGCATTGTAGCTTTGTGATAAAGCTCTTATTCTATTGTTTTCTTGTTGTTTTATCAGTTGTATCCAAGTTGAGTGTTGTTAAAACTCAAAAGAGTTTGTTCTAATTCGGTCATATTTTATGAAATGAACACGTTTGAATGTTTTACTATGACAATCTTTTATAGATTTTATTCTAATGATGTATTCTCCTTTTGACTGTACTAACAAGAATCCATAAATCAGATTTGAGATGGGAATTTTTGAAAAAAGTCAAGCCGTAACAGCCTATGATGAAGAAGAAGCACAACACTGTGTGTATGCTATGCGGCTGGTGAGTTCCTCAGTGCTGCCCATGGTGTTGAATGCAACCATTGAACTGGATGTATTCGAAATTCTTGCTAAAGCTGGTCCAGGAGCACAACTGTCGCCTCAGGAAATTGCATCCCATATGCCTGCTAAAAATCCTGATGCACCTGCTATGCTGGACCGGATGCTAAGGCTCCTGGTTAGCAACTCAATTCTCACTTGCTCTGTCGTTGATGCTGGCGGTAGCGGAGACATCCAGAGACACTACGGGCTGGCACCCGTGGCCAAATACTTCGTTCGGAACGAAGATGGTGTATCTTTTCACCCTCTGTTAGCCTTGATTCAAGATAAGGTCTTCATGGACAGCTGGTATGAGTTGAAAGATGCAGTGCTCGAAGGAGGAATCCCATTTGACAAGGTACATGGTACTCATGCATTTGATTATCCTGGAAAGGACCCTAGGTTCAATGAAATCTTCAACAAGGCAATGACCAACCATACAACGATTGTCATGAAACAAATTCTTGATCACTACAAAGGTTTCGCGAACATCAAAACGTTGGTGGATGTAGCTGGCGGTCTTGGAGTCAACCTCAACATGATTACATCCAGATATTCGACGATCAAGGGTATTAATTTCGATCAGCCACATGTTATACAGCGAGCACCGTTCTATCCCGGCGTGGAACACATTGGAGGAGATATGTTTGAAAGTGTTCCTGGTGGAGATGTCATTTTCATGAAATGGATACTTCATGATTGGAGTGATGGGGACTGTTTGAAATTGCTTAAGAACTGCTACAAGGTTCTACCAGAAGATGGAAAGGTAATTGTGGTTGAGTTTATTCTTCCAGTTAAACCTGACACTAGTACTTCTATGATCAGCACAAGCCAAGTTGATCTGATTATGATGACTCAAAATCCGGGTGGAAAAGAACGATCAGAAGCGGAGTTTCTTGCATTGGCAACAAAAGCTGGGTTTCGGGGCATGAGATAGAGCGTCTTAGTCTGCAACTTTTGGGTCATGGAATTCTACAAGTAATAAGATACNATTCTACAAATAGCTAGATCACTGCTATACTGCTTTGAATGAACCTTGAGCTCATGGTGTACTTTGAGATATGTTGTTAACTGTTAAAGAGAAGTGAATACTTCCTTGCCCCCCGTTTTTTTTCGACTTTCTTTTTGTTTCACTTTCGTCACACATAAATCTGGCAAGTGGATTCGGAAGAAGTAGTCATGTAATTCCGATGCCAAAATTATTGAAAATAAGCTGTTTATGTTTGTTTGCTTTTGATTATACTCTTTTGTTCACTTGAGAGCGCAATGTCGCTTCTGATTCTGAATAGATTGTATGTTTTTACAAAGGAATTTCAACAATGCCCGGGGTAGAGTAACATGAAACTTTCAGTACAGTTATCAAACATGCCACTTTCAGGCTAATCCTCAACCTCGTCTTACTCATAACTAGCAACTTCGTCAACTTTATATCAATAATATCTTCTTATAAGGTCCCGTTACCGATGATATCTATATGACTCAGCCCTTGAGATTTGTTAATCAGCATTGGCCTTGCTATGTATTCCATCTCGTAAAAGCATATGGTTAAGCCCCTCATGCTTGGTATAATAAACTCAATCATCTCTTGCTTGATTAGTGTTTCTCTAGTTCTCATGTAGATATTTTATTGTTTATTTACGTCGAACGAAACTATTAAATANGTTTATTTACGTCGAACGTAACTATTAAATATTTGTTTTTATATACGTGGATGATATTGTTGTCAGCAAGAGTCAAATAGTACTTCACTTTATTGTAGATCTTGGTCGTCATTTTTTTAATCAAAGATCTAGGTCCTTTGTCCTTCTTTTCGGACATTGGAGTGGTTTCACCGTCATCATGGCTAATTTCTATCTCAACAGCAATATCCACTTGATCTCATTCATCGGACTATTGTGAAAATTGAAGAGTATAATTAAAAAAAAAAAAAAAGAACAATAAGATCGAAACACAGAAGTTTAAATAATTCGACAATTTACGTACGTCCATTGTACAACACGAAATAATTCACTTACTTCAAATAGAGTAACATTATATTATTAATATAGAATCTTCCCCAACCCTTCGCCTCCGCTCTATTAACTAGCCCCTATTTACATAAAATATGAGTCATCTAATCAACAATCTCCACCTTTACAAATCAACAATCTTCGCTGCGGGGTCGAGCCTACTAGCCAATCCGCTCCGCTACCTCAACTAGCCCTTATTTAAATAAAATAAGTGCCACCTAAATTATAACAATTGGACTAATATGCATCTGTCCAAACTAGTACATGTACATTGCTTATTTTATAAGCTTTGATTGAATACATCCATTGATTTGTGGCCATTGATTTGTGATCTAAAGAAATAAAAGTTTAAGATTAATGATTTATCAGTATTGGTTCAAGATACTTACTAGGGACATATTTGAATCAAAAATCAAAGCTGAATTAAAAAGAATAAACTAAGCATTTTCTGTATGTGTTATGCCCCTAAGTTCAATTGATTTTGGACGTAAACACTTTCAATTTAATTAATGCATTATTATGTAAGGCAGATCTATTATTTAATTGAATAAATAATTTGATAAATTAAATAGTAGAGTCCGTAAATTCAAGTCCTAGTAACTTGTTAATCAAAAGGAATTGTGATGGTGAGAAATTACACATGAATGGATTTTAAGTTATCCTTAGTTGTAAGTAATAACGAGATATTTATATCGTTATGATGAATAGACTAACATGTGTGATGTCACACACTTAAGAAGTGAGTTGTTGATCTCACAAACTAAAATGTGAGGACATTTAAATAGACACGTGAATGTTTTTGTTAAGGAAACAAAATATTGGAGACCCGCTAGAGAGATTTCACATAGATAACTATCGAGTGTCAATGATTAATCTCTAACGTTCAGTAGTAGAATTAGTAATTCAACTTGAGGTTATTATATAGTACCTTATATGAGGATAGTCATATTTCGGTAATATTAGATGTTACTCTACCAAGAGTCGCTGATATGACACAGTTTGAGTACTTCAAGAATCATATGAAAAGAATTTTCGACTTATATTGACTTAAGAGTGGTATGAAAGATATAATCGATAATCGAAATTGAGACACTTCCATATCTCGTAATTAATTAATCATATTGATGAAGAAATTATCGATTCACGGTAAATGAATAATTTTGATTTTGTCACACCACGTGACATTTTTCGTCATATATATTGCTCCAATACATTGCTAGATATCAATACGAGCGAACGAATGTGAATTAATGATAAATTAAAAGAGCATTTTCATTTATCTTATTTTGATTAAATTTAAATAATAATTCGTATCGTTAGACATCATGAACAAGAACCTAATTGGTCATACACAAAAATGAGAACTAAAAGAATGATATTATTAATTAATTAATTGTCAAGTTTTGGACATTTATATAATTAATTGATTGTGTTGCTTGTTAATGGATCCAAGTTAATTAATTGGATTAATTAATTTATGGATAAAGCGTAATTAATTAGATTAATTAAATATTGAATTATGTAAGTTTAATGGACTAGCCAAGCACACTTGAACTTCCATTAATAAGTTGTTAAGAGTTAGAGAAAATCAAGACACACATTCATCATTTTGCTAGCACAAAAAAAAAAAAAAAAAAGAAATCACAATTCTTTCATTCTTGTTCCCTTGTGTGGATTACTATTAGAGGGGACAATTGAACAATTTTGGTGTACATATCGTAATTGTTTGTGTTCCAAGATTGTCAATGAATTTCACATAATTAACTAAAGATATAATTCTTATTACAATTTCTATCTAAACACAAATTAAATGATCGATGAAAGTTGAAATCGTTAAAATTTCATTATGCATATATAAGTAAATTTTCAACAGTGGTATCGGAGCTTGCATTGTGCCTATAAATAATTTTAAAAAGGTCAGATGCAATTTTCAAAAGGTTTTGAATATAAATATTAAAATTATTTGTAAATTTAATTTTCAAAGGGGCTTTGACCCAAAATTCAATCTTGACCCAATTAAAACTTTATTTAAAAATGATGACTTTTATATCGTTAAAATTGGATTTTAACTTAAATATTAAACTTTGACCCTAAACTGAATTTTTTTTATTTAGGAGTTTTATATTAAATTAAAATGTTAATTTAATTGGAATTAGAATTAGACTCTAATTTCTTATATAATTAGAATTTGATTTTAATTAAATTAATTCACCCTAATACATTCTTGGAATTAGAGTTGGACTCTTATATGACATTTAATTAAATAAACTCGTTAATTAAATCAATTAATTAATTTGATTAATTAATTGTTTAATTACATCGATCCATTTATCTAAATTAGGTTAGACGACCAAGATTGCTATAAACTTGAAACTTATTTTCACATAATATTAGATATTATATAGGAATGTATTTATATGATAAATGTTTAATTAGTAGATGATTATGAACTCGATCATATATATATATATGTGTGTGTGTGTGTGTGTGTGTGTGTGTGTGTGTGTTGAATAATTATAATCGTTTCAACATAAGACCAAGAGTTAAACCAATAGAAGCATGGGCGGACCTAGGGGGCTGGGGGGGGGGGAGTGCCCCCTACTCAACTTTTGAGATTTTTTATATAAAATCTTGTTTGGTATCGATTGAAATCTAAATTTTAATCTAAATCAAAGTTAACAATTAATTTTAATATCATATTTCATGAAATTCATAACTGTTTAACTTTTATCAAAATTTACTAAAAATTTGATTTTAATCGCAACCAAATAGGGGAAAAATCACAATAAATTTGAATTTCGATAACATGCTAATTTTAAAAATTCTCTGACGACCGTACGCTAATTGAATCTACGAATTGCTTATATCATCTCAAAACTTATATTGAGAACTACATTATGGGCATATCGAATAATCCAAACAAATATCGAAAATAGTTAAAAATACGTTAAACGCGAGTCATATCCCATGTAAATTTTCGGATGTAAAATTACATGGGGTATGATTTTTTTTTTTTACGTAAATTTTCGATTGTAAAATTTCTCCCAACTTCTTTGCAAGTTCGATTGTGGCCCCCTAACTTTTATGGTTTGCGTCCTTCCCTGAATAGAAGCATCCAAAAGTCTCATCCAACGGCCATAGATGATGAGCCACGTTTCACAATCCCAGTAAAAGCCTCAACTAACAAAAATGCCATTTCGGAATATACTTTTTTCCAATTTTAGTAGCACCAATGCTGGCAATTCCCATCACCTTCGATGAAAAACCAAATCCGACTACACTGAAGAGCCATGTTGAAGACTAAACTTACATAAACAATATCTCTCCCTGAAGATATTAAACTTTAGATGAGGTGGTTTAATAACTGATTCTGATCCTTGATCCGCTTTTTGGGTCATCTTTTATCCTTTATATATTTGAATACTTCAGTTTTACATTTACATTAATCCTAAACTAGTTTTATGCAAGTACTTTTGCTTGAGGTTTGAGGGGTTTACAAGAATGGCAAGGTTGGTTACTTTTTTCTTTTTCTACATAATGTTAATGTTGCTACACATAAAAAATTGTTGTTATTAAGTATTATTGACTACTAATGTCACCATTGCCTCCGCCAAAAGAAGTTTTTAAAAGTTGAAGTTGATTAAGTCTTATCTTTAATCAATCACGTTACAAGAGATTGAATTGGTTAATTTTAGGTCAAATTTATAATTGACAATGTTCAAATTAGTTAGTAATTTTCGTATCCAAAATCATGAGTTATTGAGTTGTAATTAAAGTCAAAATAGTTTACAGGTTGATATTGTAGTCCTTGGAGGAGTCAAAGAGATCAAACATGGACTAAAGAGAAAAAGTCCACGCAAAACTGCTCGCGGCTGTGCGTTGAGTGTTCGAGCACTCAAAACTGGAATGCAGTTGCTCACTAGAAACG